CTTGATTGTGAGTGAGCCTGACCTAATCAGCTAGGACCTTTTAAAAGAGAGTTTAAAAGTGAAGAGACAAGAAGTCAGACACATTTCAAGCTGTAGCAGGTATTCTTTTGTTGGCCTGGTGGAAGTTAATTGCCATGCTGTGGTGAGAGACAAGTGGCAATGCCCTAAGAGTGGACTCAAGGTGCTAACCGCTGGCAGTTAACAAGAGAATGGGATCTCATCCACACAGCCAGAAGGAAGCAAATTCTGCCAGCTAACTGAGGGAGCTTAGAAGTAGATCTTTTTGGGTCTCATGTTTTCCCTTATATATGGAAGCTCTAAATTAAATACATACACACACACACACACACACACACACACATACACACACATAGTGAGAGAGAACAAGTTGTATTAGTGAGTCTGTTTGGGGGTACTACAGGAAGCAGAAAAGGTAAAGAAAATGTGAGGGGATGAAAAATATGAAAACAACCTATCTATATATGAACATAATAGCATGAACAATAATGTAAGCTCTTGAACATTAGGACAGCATGGTGACAGACAATGAGTAAGTAACAGGGAGGGGGGTTAATTTGATTAAAGCATGACATATACAGGACTGAAGTACCAAGGCAAACCCCCCTTGGACTATCAATATACACTTTAAAAAATGAAGGGCAGGGGGATAAAATAGGTCTTTTCTGAGGGTGGGTACTAGTGGGTAGGCATAGGGAAAGGGTGAATGAAGGTGAATATGGTGGTTGTATTTTATATTCATATATGAAAATAGAAGAATGAAATCTGCTGAAATTGTTCTAAGAAGTTGGGGAGGGGGAAAGAAGGAGAGCTATGGAGAAGGTAAATCTAAGATATACTGTAAGCACACAGAAATATCTCAATGTTTCCCCCTGTACATTGTATGCTAATAAAGTTTTTTTAAAAAGAAGTAGCTCTTTCCAGAGTTAAGCCTTCACAAGAGGATGCAGCTGAGTAACCATTTGGATTTAGCCTTCTGAGACATTGGGCAGGGGAAAACATGCCAAATTCCTTGCTCCTGAAAACTGTAAAGTAGTAAGTTTAAGTTGTTTTCAACTGCTACATCTGTAGTGATTATGCAGAAGAAAAATATGCTGTTTCAAAAATGTTGTATATTAATAGAATGACTGAGGTCTAGTAAGGTCAACAGATCAAAAGAGAACTGTCATTGAGAACACAGCTGTTATGTTCACATCTCAAGACAAGGGGAAAGAAACATCATGCAGGGCCACATGGAGAGGAGCTGTGGTTGGTCCAGAGGTGGTGAGGGGGACTGTGGGTCCCATGGGAAGGAACAGGTGAGGCAGGGCAAGCAGATGATGGACTGGCTAGTCCGAATATTTCTAGTGGATTCTGGAGCATAAGGCTGCTTCCAATTGTCTGGTACCTGACCTTGGGTATGAGGGAAGATGGACAGTGACTCAGAAAAATGAAAGCCTGAAAAAGGAGGTAGTAGAGATATGGGCTTACGACGGGTCGATTTGCTTATGACAGCTATACTCTGGGTTAGGTGTTTGCCATCTCTAAGAATTGGCTAACCTTAGTAAGGGCAGTCCTTCCAGGATCAGCAAGGCCCTGGATGTTGAAAGATCAGAATACAGAAAAGACATGTTTAAAACACTGACATCTCAAAACACTGGAAGAAAGAAACAAAGTAAACATAAAGCAAGCAGAAATAAAGATAATGAAGATAGGAGTAAGAATCAATGACATGGAAAATAAAACAGAGCAAAGTAACAAAGCCAAAATTTGGTTCTTTAAAAAAATCAACAAAATTGATAAACTTACAGCTAAGAGAAAATATAGATTATCAGCATCAAGAATTCAGAAGAGTTATCTGCGTAGGAACTACAGACAATAAAAGTGTAATAAAATATTTGAACAAATTTATTGCAATAAATTTAACAATTTAGATAAAAGAGATACATTTTTTGAAAGACCAATACTCACTCAAGAAGAAATTTATCTCCTAAATAGCTCATTTGTCAAGGAAAAATTGTATTAATAGTTAAAAACCTCCTCACAAACAAAGAAAGCTCTAAGACCAGATGGTTTCACTAATTAATTCTAACAAATAATTAAGGAAGAAAAATATACCACCCTACACATATTTTCAGGAAAAAAAAGTCAGAATGTTTTCCAACTGATTTCATGAGGCCAGTTTTACCATCACTCCAAAACCAGAAAAAGAAATTATAAAGAAATAATAAATAATATCTCTTATATGATGTTGTCAAGTATATGTTTGGTTTTCCTCCCTATATCTGACATATACCTCATTATATCCTTGGAATCTCTGTAGTAGTAAGACTCTCTTTCATATACTGACATATTTGTCAGTAGCTTACTAGTACCCTAGTAGCTTCAGGGTGGGAGCTGGTTTCTGTAAGAAAAGCCAAAGTAGGATTAGAGGGTTGGGATTTTCATCCTACCTCTTGCCCTCCCAGCCTCTGAGGAGAGAAGGGCTGAAGGTTAAGTTGATTGCCAATGGCCAATGATTTAATTAACCAGGCTTATGTAATAAAGCCTCCATAAATACACAAAAAGACTGAGATCAGAGAGCCTACAGAGTTGAGCATGCACAGGTTCCTAAAGGGTAGTACACCTGGACAGGATATGGGACATTAAAAACACAGTCCAACTCCTAGACAGGTTAGCATAAAACTTCACATTAAAGGTCTTTAGCCTCAATTCCTTATTGCCATATTCAGCAATCAACAAGCAATTATGACTGTGAACTGAATGTTTCTGAAAAAGACACACATGTGTTGAAGACTGCACACTGACTGGCTGAATAGAACTTTATGACTGTGGAGAGATGGAATGCTGAAGATCAACAGCCAAGTTATCTTGGGTTATCTGTAGTCTGCTCACTTCATTCAATACAAGTCTGTGTCTGACCTCATATTCTTGTGACTATTAAGTTAAACTTTTGGAATATATTATTAAACTCAGAAGGCAACTATCTTCCACCAACCCTAAATCTAAGAGTGTTATAATGCCTGAAATCTATAAAAGAGGTCTTCCTGCCCTAACCCACCTACCTGAGGTCCCCACCAATGTATTTGGTAAATGCATTGATTTATAACATTCTTTTCTTCTTTTATTCATGAACCTCTTCCACAGTGGAACATATCTGTCACTTAAGATAATCTAAATCCAAGCTCTTTTGTTTTTTAATTTTTTTTTGATGGTACTGGGGTTTGAACTCACAGCCTCACACTTGCTAGGCAGGCACTCTACCACTTGAGCCACTCTATCAGCAAATTCAAACTCTTTGAGCATGGTCATTCATATTTGGCTCAGAATAAAACTATCTCTTATTCTCGAATAAAGAGCAATGCTTCATATGGACAGTTTTAACAACACAACGTGGTCCCAAGCATGATCTACTTTCACTGGAGTAGTCAAACAGTTCAGCACCAGGTATGAGCATAGACCCTTTGTGTCCACAGTTGTCTCCTTGGCAGGATGTTGGTGAGTCTTTCCAAGGGCCTGGACTCCCTTTGTTTTGTTTGATGGCCTGTTAGTTTATTCTAAGTTGGTTGTTATAATGAATATTCTTTTGTTGTCTCACATTTGTCAGAACATTTGTTTGCTAGCATTTGACCTTTTCCTTCTGCCAGTCATCCGATACCTAACTTAGCAGTTTTGCTGTTCTGTCTCTCCTGTTCATTGCAATCTTTCCCCTTTTAGTATAGATATTCCAGGAGTACTTGATCACAAAAACAATAAAGATAAGAGGCACTTGTTTCCTCCAACCTAATAGAGCAGAGCTGTGGGAAACTCCCCAGGATGTACAATGATCTCATAGGAAAACCCCCAAACAATACCTTGATCCTGGGTCAGAAGGAACCTTATTGGCTCACTCCAGAAGACACATATAAGCAGCACTCACCCAGTGTCTGGAGCCTCCTCACATTCTTGTGAACACACAGGATAAACCTGAGACACAGTGGAAGGAACTGACTTTGGGGTGAAGTTCGAGAGAGCTACTCACACAGCAGCACATAAATGCGATCCAAAACATAATCCCACCAACTAGCATAGAAAGTTGCAATTTTCAGAAGAAAAAAAGCCTGAAAATGGGAAACATAAATTCAAGGAAGGAGGAGGTGTTTGGAAAAAACCCACTATCTTGTATTCCATCTGGTTTCATGTTTGATAATTATGATTGATAACTTGCAAGCATTTGGGGAAAAGGGGAAATTTAACTAAAGATAATGACTTTACATTTTACAATATGAAAATTATATATGCATAATCATATATATCTAATGCAATTAAATACATAAGTATATATAATATACTTATATGTATATTATATACATATATGTATATAATATTATATACATATATGTACTATATGTATAGTGTATATATACACAAGGAAAGCTCTAAGTCTAGGTGGTTTCACTAATTCTAACAAATAAATATACATTATGTATATAAAGATACATATTTATATGAGTATATATATTTTTTGCATGTGCTACTGGGGTTTGAACTCAGGGCATGGGCTTGCTAGGCAAGCACTCTACCCCTTCAGTCACATCCCAGCCCTTTTTGGCTTTTAGTTATTTTTCAGATAGCATCTCGCTAACTTTTTGCCCAGACTGGCCTCGAGCTGTGATCCTTCAATCTCTGCCTCCCAAGAAATTGAGATTATAGGTGTCTTTCTTTTTATTTTTAAAATCAAAGATCTGAGTCCTGGATTTGATGTGGCATTGGGGTGATGATGAAAGACCAGCCTCGAATGGAGTGGAGCATGAGAACTAAGCAGGAGGAGGAAGAAACAAGAACCAGAGGTGAACTCAACAGATTTTGCAAATTCTCAGGAAAAAAATCTTGGGGACAGCCAGGACTTTCCAATGGAGTTGAACGGGAGTTCAAGATAATCTTAGATTTTAAGGAGTTAGACAACCACCAAGAAACAAGTGGGTTGCATTCACATTAAATTATAATTTCAAAAAATCACTTACCTCCAATGATTTTGCATTCAAATGAATACGAGGCATGTGCCCTGATATCAGTTTGCAGGAATATGCTATAAAGAGAACGATAAAGGTGTCATAAAAAAGGCTCGATGTTTCTACGAGCATTAAAAAAATCTGGTTATGTTCTTCTTTCATTATACTTTGCCTGTGACTATTTTAAAGCCTAACAGCCCACCACAAAACTGATGATGTTATGGTAGGAAAAGGAATTAAATGCTTGTTTCATTTAATGTTAGCATGCAACTTAAATAGAACTGGCTAGAAGGTGGCTATAACTAATGAATAAAGTTGTATTTTAAAAATCCTGTGAATGTGAGTCAATGCCCTGGATAGCTATCCTTATCACAACCAGCAAAAACCCTTGTCCCTTCCTGTTATTGCTTATACTCTCTCTACAACAAAATTAGAAATAAGGGCAAAATAGTTTCTGCTGGGTATTGGGGGGGGAGGGAGGGGGCGGAGTGGGTGGTAAGGGAGGGGGTGGGGGCAGGGGGGAGAAATGAACCAAGCCTTGTATGCACATATGAATAAGAAAAAAAAGAAAAAAATAAATAAAAATCCTGTGAGTTTTAATTTTTATTATCTATATTTAAGACTTTATGATTTAAATTTTTCTAGATAAGAGATTAAATTCATGCTTTATAATAATTCCAAGGGCTAGATGAAGTCAACTTCTGTTGTATCAAAGTACAATCTCAATAGGATTGTGCATAGTATATTAATAAAATCCTAGATATGATTAAAAGAAATGAGCTTATGGAATTCTTATAACATCAATATGATAATAAAGTTATATAATCTCAGCAATCCTTTTTTAACATGAAAAATTTTAGGAATTCTCATTTTTTAAAATTAAACTAGAAAACTGACAATACCAAAGCAAGTTAAGGTATCTGGGCTTGTTAAAAGTTATTTTGATACTTGTTAAAACAATTAGGAAAACTTTACAGAGGGCTGTTGTAAAAGAGAAGAGAAATCAGATTCAATTCGGAACATAATAAGGTCCGGTGGGAGTTTTTAGACAAGAAGCAGAGAAGATGCCAGAGGATGGAAAATCATGAAAGCCATCAAAGGAAAGTGTATTATTGCTAAGACAGTCTAATTGCTGAAGGAAGTGTAAGGTCTTACACACTGAATGTGGGGAATGAGGAACTGAGTTAGAGTTCCATCATGATCAAATATCAAGGGAGGGTCCCTTGGCTAAACCAACTTAGAAGGATTCTTGTTAGGCAAGTCAAAGACAAAGCTGAGGTGGAAGCCTAGTCAACAACAGGGTTCAGAGGAGCCTAAGTAAAGTTTACTCAAGGAAAGAGTCTTTGTTAGGTGCAAATACAGAATTACATCTCTAACTAGAGGAATGAAACTGTGCCTTGAGACACACGAGTCCTTATCTAATATGTAGTTCTACTTTTATACAATAAGTAATGACTTAAAAACAAGTGGAGTAAGTCTTTGAGAAGCTGAGGCTTTGTCATTTCCCTCCCAAATGTTCCTAAAGTGGCAGGATTTGAAAGACAGGATAAGGGAAGGAATTAACCCTGTTGTACAAAATAACAGGAAATAGTGATTTGATTCTAAGAAGAGAGCCTGCAAGTGTGGAACAAGGTTGACATCATTTCTGTTCCTTCTAACAGGTTCAGTCTTTGTCTCTGAGAATTAATGTTTTTCCTAAGGAAATGGTATTTGCACACTTCTCTCTCTCTCTCTCTCTCTCTCTCTCTCTCAGTGTGTGTGTGTGTGTAATTCCACAGCTGTCCATTAACTCATTCTTTAGGTTACTATTATATACCTTTTCCCTCTCTCTACAGATCATCTAATACATCCTCCCCAGACTCCCTCTTAGTGACATCAAAATAGAGGTCCCTGGAGTTGGCAGTTGGCTCAGTGGTAGAGCACTTGCCTTAGCTTGCACAAGGTCCTATATTCCATTCCCCAACATAAAAAGAAAATAAAAACACCCAACAACAGCAATAAAAAAAATAGGTCCCTTGTTCAAAAGGCTGAGAAGTGCGATCCATTAGAGATACTAAAATATAGGTTGTCTTTCAAACCATTTTATATTATAAAACATATAACATAGCTATAAAACTTATAAATCATTACCCCCAAGCAAGGGTAATGGTTATACATAAATAACAACATAAATGTACAAATTATGCAAAAACATTGCATTTTGTTGCTGTAATTTTATATAATGCAATAAAATACTTTCTTAAATGTGATATCTTGATTGATCATAAGATTTTTCTGAGTTCTCTGCAAATTGATTCATTGAGTTATCAAAGTGTACACTTTTTAGCAACTTCATTTTCAAACTACATTTGAAAGTAACATCAGTCACCCAGGGAAAATACAAAACCATAGGTAAGTTTTGATCATTTGTAATTTTGATAAGGGCCTTTTTGTTACTGTACCCATTATTGGAACTATTATTAAACATTTTATGCAATGAGAACATTGATCAATTATTTTTAAAAATAAACTTTTGTACACTTATAACTGATGATCCCTTTGGGACAATTTTTCTAAAAAGATTTAACTCTTCATACAAATCAGTTTCATGTAGATTGTGATTCAATTTTTAAGGATAAATACATACAGTAAGATTGTTTTAACTTTTTGAAATTTGTGGATATTATACAAAGAACAAAAAGTGGCCTTATGATTTGTATATAATTTAAAATGTCTTCTTATACATTCTATTGCCATCTGTTCAAGTACAAATAGAAAACAGTTTGAAATTTTTTCTTCTTAATTATTGGTTTATCTGAAACTTTCAGTGTAAGTGTGCTCTTTCCATTAAATGAGATGATCTTTAAATTCAATTTCTATTTCAAAGCCTGTCTATATTTGCTTTGCAATGTTGCAGCGATTTCTCAAAGTCAAAGACTGTAAACGTCAAAGAATTCTATTACTTCCTGGTATGTTTTATAATAATGTTAACGTGTACACAATTATTTTTTAATAAGTTACTGACAAAGTTTGAACGTAGGTTTAACAAGTGTCTGTCTGAATGCTTGTGCTATCTGTCCCAGTGCTGGAGAATCAAAGAGCAAGTATTTGTGCAGAGGCCTTAGAGATAGGCCCTGGGACAGGCAGGCCAGACAGCTTCTCAGTGGGTTCTGGTGCTGCACCTCAAAAGGCCCTCCTCTTTCTTGAAGTCATTGGTGTGACCGCTGCCTGGATCTAAACAAAGATTAATTTTCATAAGTTATGATGAATATTCATAAGTGTCATGTATTGTGAGGGAAATTCAAGTCTGTGTAAGGTTCTTGGCTTGTGCCTAACATTATAATGAGTTCAAAGAAAGATTTATAGCAGATATATAACAAGCCTCTTAAAACTTACTAGAAAGATTAGAACAAATTGCATGCAGGTTGTGTATCCCTTATCCAAAATGCTTGGATCCAGAAGTATTTTAGATTTTGGATTTGGTATATTTGCATGTACACAATGAAGCATCTTGGGTGGCATCCACATCTAAACATGAAATTCATTTATGCTTCATATACATGTTAGACACATAGCCAGAAGGCAATTTTATACAGTATTTTAGTGAATGTTATTTATTTTTAATAATTTTATTATATATTTCAATTAGCATACATTAATAATATGGGGGATTTCATTGTGATAATTCCTACATGCATAAAGTGTACTCAAAACAAGTTAACAGGTTTATCCACCCCTTCCACTGTATTCCCATCCCCCTCCTCTATCCACCCTGTTTACAAAGAGTGTTTGGTGGATTTCACTATGCTGTCTCTCTGTGTCTCTAGCATACTTCAATCCCCTTCACACCTCAGTATCATTTCCTTTCCCCCTTTCCCTTCCATTGTTCTCCACTCCCAATGTCACATTCATGAGCCATTGTTTTTATTATCATCATCAACTTTTAGGTCTAGGTTCTACAAATGTGTGAGAACATGCAAGATTTGGCTTTTAGGGCTTGTCTTGTCTCACTCAATATGATGATATCCAGTTCTACCCATTTTCCTGCAAATGACATAATTTTATTTTCCCTTTATGACTGAGTAATTAATGTGCCATGATATATATTTTTTCTTTGCCTATTTATCATTTGTGTGGCACCTCAGCTGATTCTGTAGGTTAGCTATTGTGAACAGAGCTACAATAAATGTGGTATTCAGATTGCTCTCTCTTATATATTGATTTACACTCTTTGGTCATATACCCAAGAATGGTATGGTGGGTTCATAAGGTAGGTCTATTTTTAGTTTTTTGATCAACCTCCATACTGATTTCTGCAGCGGTTGCACAAGTTTACATTCCCACCAACACTATATGGGGGTTTATTCCCCACCCACAGTCCTTGTCAGCATTTGTTGTTTGTATTCTTGAGAGATTGTTTCTAGGTTCTAGCAAGGGAGCACAGTTAGTTGTATACCCTTAACCGAAGAACAGTCCTCCTCTATCGGGGATGGTCATCCTCTTTGACTGAGCATGCAGTTTTGGGAGGGATGCACATGGAGCGGGGACACCCGCCTAGTCAGCCAGATCAGCCAAATCAACCCTGGGGATCAGTGGGGTGACAGATGTCACAGCCAGATCACCCTCACATCCTGTTGTTTGTATTCTTGATTGCCAATCTGACTGGGGTGACATGGTGTCTTAATCTTTGATATGAATTTCCTATGGCTAAAGATGTAGAACATTTCTCCATGTATTTGTTAACCATTTACATTTCTTCTTCTGAGAATGCCTGCTCAATTTGCTTGCCCATTTATTAATTGGAATATTTGCTCATTCGTTCAGTTTTTCGAGCTCTTTATATATTCTGGATATTAATCTTTAATCAATAGAATTTCTTCCATTCTCTGTGTTGTTTCTTGATTCTGGTAATTTTTTTGATGTGCAGAAACTTTCTAATTTGATGCAGTCCCAATTGTCATTCTTGTTTTTTGCTACTGGAGTCTTATTCAGAAAATAATTACCCATGCCTAGATTTCCCTATAGTAGTTTCAGAGTTTTAGGTCTTACATTAAGATCTATGATCCATTTGGAGTTGATTTTGATACAGGGTGAGAAA